ATACTTTATTCTTATTTAATGCGCTAATTATAAATTAAACTTAAAACACTCGTAATCATTCACTTATCAACAATCATGAATCATCAAAACAACGCCATTACGATACCGATACACGCTAATACGCTAACATAAAAGAGTGCAATACAACGTAGTGCTATGCTCTAGGATAAGAGTCAGAAGGGAGGGAAGGGAGGGGGAAGTTTCTTGTTGTGACAATTGGCGCTGCGCGCTTGCTTTCTTGCTTATCTCATCTCGAGCATGAGTGAGTAGAGATGGGCTAAATGAGTACATCGAAATACTGATTACTACCGGTACTGGTACTCTCGAGTATCAGTTACTTTTGATGATTACTTTGTACTCATGAGTACTCATCACGGTCGACGGGATTTTGTACCCGTAGAGTGTTCCTGTATCAGTATAATACCAAATACCATTAGTGGATACCACTGGTAGTACTCAGTTCCTTTACAAAATGATTACTATGTGTTCTTAAGCAGATTATTCATTTATAGTGATCAGTGAAAGCAGTTTTCATATATGTGGAATTTGCTATTACTAACAAATGATTATGGTATTTTCAGCTATAATACTCAGTTAAGTTTAAACGAGTAGGCTACTACTAAACTGATACCCGAGACGAGTCCTGGTGCTGGTACTGGATTGAAGGCTTAGCAGTACCAGTACTCAATAGTAGAAACGAGTACTCCAGTATCAGATACTTTTGGTTTTGAGTAACAGTTACACACGGGACTGGCGAGTATCCGATACAAAGTATCAGATACTGCAGTCCCGACTCACCTCTATGAGTGAGTCGTGAAATGAAACCCACAGGCGCCGCGCCGTACGTTGCCGAGCGTCAGCTCACTACAAAATCGAAACTGCAAATGGAGTCCTTGAGTTGTAGTGCTGTACAAATATACACATTTTGCAAGTGCTGTTGGTACAAACAGAATAAATGCCTTTATTGTGGTATACTTGAACTCTGAGCAAAAATAAACAAAATTACGTTGTTCACGTAAAAAAAATTGTTCCGTTGGCGCCACGGCGCCACTTTTTCGTGGCGCCATATGCGGCAGCGTATTTCGCGTATGGGTTAAACCGGCCCTGACTTTAACAAGTGTTTAGACTATTATCCCCTTTAAAATATTTGCTTTCAAACCACGTGTAGTTTCAACGACAAAGTTTAAATAGTCTGTAATTGCGATTCCTGGTATATCAAAGAAAATAATGTTGACAATAAATGATGGCATCTATAATTGGGTTATAATTGCAAAAACTTCCGTATTATTCTATAGGTAAACACTAAACTTAATCTGAACCAACTTCTTGTAAATCACTAAAGTCAAATACACACATATGACTATTACAGTTTTATCTTCAAATAGGTAAGACAATCCAACAAATTAACTATGAATATCACTACACCGTGAAATCATGGTGATTTGTTTTTACAGATCCGATAAGGACACATTTCTATATTGAGAAACTACACTAAAATTTAACTGCATGAAGTTTTTAGCAACTTCTAATGTAACACTTATTTTATCTATTAGAGATGTTGTATCCTTCGCTCAGGAATGTTTTCACAAACTACTGATTAAACCTATTTTTACAAGAACCAGATATATAAAGCTTATTTGTTGACCTTTCAAATATTTTTTTTTTCAATTTTTTCTTTGCGATTCCTGAGTTCAATGGATCAGGTAGAACATTTTTAGGCGCCGAAGAAGTAAGTAGAAACTGAATTTGCTTGTAGAAATGTTTATTGGCAGTAGCAGTGGAGAAGTAGAAAGTAGAAAACTGTAAGCAAATATTTATAGCTGGTCAACAGTCGGACGTTCTGGGTGAAGTGTGACGTCTATGTTTAGAATTCCACGGATCGTCCAGTAGACCAACGTCAAATTGGAGACGCCTCGTACTTCCTTATGAGATGACAAGAGTATGAGGGATTCCCAGTGCAAATAAGGACTAAGGAATCGAATTGGAGGTTAAAATAGTTTTTAAGTGAATTTTACAATGCATTTTTCGATTTCCAAATGAGTTCAGTATAAAATGTGGTGACCAAAAGTGGCCTAAAATTAAAATTCACATACATTTGATTACGTAAAGTGGGTCGAATCCACCATCCTCGCACCAAAGTGTATATCACATCACATATATGATAAAGATAGAATACATATGGAACTGAATTAAAAACCAGGCGCCAGACTAGATATACAGGGTGATTGATATAAGTGTGCCAGCCGTTTTATTCGAAAACTATAAGAGATATCAAAAAACGTTAAACGGTAAGTGCCTTGGATTTTTTATTTAAAAAATTATAGTCGAGTCAAAAAAATTATTTTAGCCGCCATTTTTCCAATATGGCCGCCAACTTTGATTTTTATTATAAAACACCCTGTATTTTATAATGTATTTCGGTAGAAAAAGTAATTTTAAGACGATTTTATTCTTGTGATTTTTTTCATAAACCTAACCGTTTTAAAGATAATATTGGTTAAAGTTTTGAAATTTCTGCATGAGAAAGAGTTTCGAAGCAAGCATGCCAGCTGTTTTGCTCGAAAACCATTCAAAATTTCACAACTTAAACCATTATTATCTTTGAAACGGTTAGGTTTATGAAAGAAATCACAAGAATAAAATTGTCTTAAAATTACCTTTTCTACCAGAATACATCATAAAATACAGGGTGTTCCATAAGAAAAATCAAAGTTGGCGGCCATATTGGAAAAATGGCGGCTAAAATAATTTTTTTGACTTGACTATAATTTTTTTTATAAAAAATCCAAGGCACTTACCATTTAACTTTTTTTTATATCTCCTATAGTTTTCGAATAAAACGGCTGGCACACTTATATCAATCACCCTGTAGAGCTTGGACGACAACCTCTTGAAGTTAAGTTAGACTTCCGTCTGGACCACAAGTGTTTAAGAGCATCTAAATGTAAAATTTATGTAAGATGATGGCATTCCTAACATAACATCAATACAAGTTGTCAACTGTAAAGTTAACTTACTCGTATTCTTATAATCGCTTTTGCAAATAATGGGTTTAAATTACGGCTAACATAAAACAGAGGGACTATTAGATCTGCAAATAATAATTTTGCTTTTCCATATTTACTACTCATATTATTTAATATTATTACTCTTATAGTACTGTGTACAATGTTGTGAACTGAAATTTAGCTTTTTAGTACAAATGTGAGTAACATGAACTTATCAAGCAATAAAGGAATTTGATAACTTACTTTTTCAAGATTTTTAAAACTTACTTTTTACGATAACAAATTCAAATATATTTGTTGATTTCCAACAAACCTTATCAGCTTTCCAGACAAATGATAACTGACGGACTCACCTTCCTTCAGCAAAGCTCTACCTCCATACAATCTACTGTCTACTCCACAGTATAAGCTATGATAATCCTTGTCAAGTACGCTCGCCAAAAGCGTCGCATCAACTTTCAATATTAATGTCCTCCCTGGCAGCCAAGTAGCCAAGTACGGTAGAAAGCAAGGTTTAAAGCCTCGTTGGAAAGTGTTCGCTCAAATTCTCAGGGCACGCTCGCAAAAATTAACAAGCGCTCGCAGAACACGAGAACTGGTAATGGCTGTTTGAGGAAAGTTCTCACAACAATCGCATGTAACAATTCGAGAACGCTGGTTGTTTTATAAACTGTGTTGTTGGTTTGTAGCGTTGGCCTTGACTTTCAACTTCCTAGTTCCGATTTTGTGTTCATTCTGGGAACGGTTTGGGTTGTGACGTTGGTGGGGTTCGACAGTGATATTGCTAAACAATGGAACTTGTAAATAGAAAACTTTCCTTTAAACATGTTGATATGAAAAAATTGTAAACTCGAGAAAGGTATTTTGGAATTTGTCCATTGCTATTTCATTTTCCAAATGAAAATGATAAATTTATCTAAGGATCAAGAGCAATTAAACCGCTGAGCCAAAGTACTAAAATTTACAGTAAGGAACCCAACGATCACAGAAGGAACCATTATCCTTGTCCATTTTATAGTAAAAATGGTCCAATAAGGGTGATACAGTACTTGGTAAAGAAATATAGTTTTTACAAAACTTTCACCATAATCTTCATTCTCAAAGGTAGCCTATAGTGTGAATTACTGAAACTTAATAAATTAGTAAATGATTCTTTGGTATGTATTAATACTAATTTCATGCTTTAACTTGTGAGGGAGTGAAAGAAATGGTTGCTGTTCCAAGAGAATGTTTCTATGGTGGTTCTTTCTCCTCTGTAACAAACCAATAAAAACAATCATACGAAGATTTTGATATACGTATTCATTGGGAATTGATTTTTACTCCATCTAGCATACAATTTTCTACAATTTATTCCCAGAAATGGATATTTCCATTCAACATTTTGTTTCTATTCGTCCTTCTTTTGTCTTTAATGTATTATCTTTGCAGCCACCTCAATCCCACAGAACCTTATCAACATTGCTATCTAGATCTGGAAATTAAAGCCCAGTTGTATGCTCAAGGCGAGGCTCAGGGTTCTAGCTGGAGTTTACCAAATGTTATCAGGGTCGAGGCGTCTCTTATCTATTATCTAGAGTGTCTGTCCGTCTGTCTGTCACTCGGAACACATCCTGCTTTATAAAACTTCCATGACCGGCCGTAGTGGTTTAAATGTCTACAATTTCATCAGTCGAGGTTTACTGTAGTTTAATATGATATATGAACCGTCTTAGTCGAATCGAAAGCAATACAAAGTTGAAGATAGTTGTAGAAATAAGTTTATCCGGTATATAACAGTATTGCTAAAACCTACTAGTACAGAACGGATGTCTGTTACAAATATTTAAAAAACAGTACGATGGATGACAGTTTTGACCTAGTGTAATAAAGGTAATATATTACTCCAAATTTTTATTGTACACAAATTTAATATGTCTTTTTTCAACCAAACGTCCTTTGAGAGTATTATTATAATAGTGATTGGAATTGAAATTACGTGAAATTACTCACCGTTCAAAACGTAGATGGACTGCTAACTGCTACGTGAATGTAGTAAGTGCCGCTCCTGAAAAAATCAAACAATTAAATTATTTAAATATTCTTGATAATATCAACGACACAGAAATGTCGAAAGAATCAAGAAAATATCATCTGGGAGAGATTGTGTATTTATGGTTTAATTTACTTTTTACTTTTAATGATTTACGTTCAAATAAAACAGTAAATGAAAGATATAATTATGTGTTACGTCATACTGTTGCTTCATCAATTCTTCTCATGCCTTCATGATCCTTCTCATACATAATATTATCTACTTGTTGTACATTATTTTATTTTAAAGGCATTTTTAAACAAGAACAACAAAGATACGAGTTTCATTAAAATCAATAACATGAATGACGCATCAGAGAGCGAGTGCCAAAGCACAAAGAAACTCCTGAACACACAAGTTCAAACTACACAACAACAAATGTAAATTTTCAACGCATCTGCTATTCTAAAGAAGATGTTTGTCCAAAAACAGCTGATGGCTCAATAATTAACCTGTCAAAGACCTCTAAAGATCAACGCTGAGCAGAGCCAGCGTTTTAAAGGTGTTTGACCTCCGCGGAGTGGGCGAACCACGCAAATTGTTGCGTTTAGTTCTAGTATTGACCTTTGCTATGCCACTTAAGTTAGTTTGGATAGTGTACAATCTTTAAAAATTCAATTATAATACAAACCAACTTTTAAAAGTGTTATTTTGATGTCTATATGTGTTTCAGGAACTTTGAGTGACAATAGAAAGAGTCAGACAACAAGTATCAGCAAAATTTAAAACAGGGGGGCCTCCGATCAGAAGTCAGAAGTCAGTACAACAATTTCCCCTCCAGAATAAAGATGTTCATTGTATCAGCATTTGGAAAGATTTTAAGTAAAACAATGATTGCTGACGTTTTGAATGCGTAGACAACCAGTATTATGAAACTGAGTAATCAGTTACTAAGTTAAGAGAAATTAATCACTTCAAACATTACTGTTCAGAGTATTCAGGGTTAAAAACCGACTGCGGGAATCCCAAAGAACGTGTTGTTTTTGTTCTAGTGTCAACTTTTGCTATTATATGAAATATGTGCAAAATCCAACGTTATCAACAAAAGAAATGGACAATTCATAATGTCCCACCACAATAAATACAATGATCTTGTATCAGCCATGAGAAAATAGATTTCATTGTTGACGCAAGAAATTCTCTGAGATGTTGAAGCAGGAAGGCGGACTATAGTCCTACGCAAGCTGCCAATGACGTCACAAGTGAACCAGTGCAGACACAATGGCGGCAAAACGACAACTTCTGGCGGGAAGAGGAAAAGAATGCCAGTGTCAAGGTATACATTACAGACGTAAATCTCTTATCCGTGACTTGGAAAACAATCAATGTCCCTACACATTGTGGAAATGTAGTAAAGTCGATCGAAATTTCGCAGGATGGGAAAATCGATGACGCAATCTTTACTGAATGGTGCAGTTTTTACTGAATAGCGTGTCTTTTCATACTGAAGGTAGGCTAATGACGGGTTAATTGTGTTAGGACAAACAACTGGGGTTTCAAAAAATGCGAACCAATTTACGTATGAAGACTCGCTACCGCAAAAATTACTTCAATCTCCCCCAAGCATTGAAAGACTGGCGAGAGATGGACCAGACTTTCCGATTGAAGCCAGAGGCGAATCATCAAAGTATGGGTTCAGTCTCAAAATGGTTGGAGCAAATTTATAAAGCGTTTCCCTGAAAATGGCGGATTCATCACAGATACGGAGGTCTTATTTAAGACAAAAATAAACACAGAGAGAAGTTTAAATAAAATAAATTTATCAATTTACAAGAATAATAGAATAATTTACAAGAACATAGACTAGTTGACAGTTAATACAATTTCTACCCATTATTTTTCATTAATGAAAATCAATTGACAATTTTCCACGTCGTTTGTACGAAACAATCACATTAGTTAAATAATTTACAATGAAAGACCCAAAATAAACGGTGATTAGGCATTTTTTTATTTATTTTTATTTAAAAAGTTAGTTTATATTCCAACAATATAATGACTATTAATGGGTAATAATAAAAAATAAAACAAATATTTAAAAGTATGCCCAAAAATTTGTTTGTCTAGACTTAGTTTTTTTTATTGCGTAGTTCAAACTTTCAACTGAAGACTAACAACTTTTGATTATCCTTTGTGTGGAGAATCAGAAGCTAGAATTAGTTGGTTTGGGAATACTGCAAATTGTGTTGAGAGTGTTGAGGGTTATAGAAAAAATGTTTTAAATTTACCATTATATAAAATTAAATTATTTCGAAGGGATTTCGAGTAAACAGCCGCTTTTGAAGACACAAATTTACTCAAAGTGAACGAACCACACACACGTTGTGCCAATTTTCAAACAAACTACCAACAATAAATTTGCATACACACTTTACACTTCCATAAAACGATCACACTACATTTTACTCCCAAGAGAAACCGAGCCGTTAACATCTCGGCTACCTTCACTTTCTGTGAGAGCTGAGAGCACGGTATGACGTGTGAAATAAAAATTCGGCGGCATTTCCCTTTAATGGGAATCTGGGATCTGACAATCCATATCGTGATCAAATCTTGGAGGCCTCTCACTTGGATCGTGACTCCAGCAGCAAGAATATAACTCTGATAATGACAAGCAGAGGCCGCTTTGCACCTGAGAGGCCTGGATAGCATCAACAGCTCTTCGGCTCGTTTCACATCTACCCGGCTTCTACCCGGCATGCCGTTAACCCGACTTCTAGCCGGCACCGGCACGAGTGCACCTTTCACATTACGCCGACACCGGCACTCCGGCAGTTGTACTCCAGCTTGTGAAACTTGTGTGTCGTAGGGATGGAAATAGAACGTAATAGAGCAATTGTAATGTTAGGTACTTTGAAATAACTTTATTGCAATTGTATTTATATTTGATTTTTTTTTATTCAGTTTGAATTTGAGTAAAATTTAATTCAATGTTATGTAATAAAATAAAATCTAAAAATCTAAAAAATAAATTGAGTAAAAATTCTATTTCATTCAAATAATTCTGCTCTTGAACTAAATTAATAAGTAGTTCATGGTCTATTGATGGACATGACCAAAACTTTGCGAACAAATACCCAAAATTAATACACATTAACTACAAAGAACTGAACTAAAAGCCTTCTTGGTGCATCCGACAGACGGCAGGTGCCGGTTGTATGTGAACAGTCGCATTGGGCCGCTATACCCACTACTCCAGCCGGCTTGTTTACCCGGCACCGGCAGCCGGCCTTCGCCGAGGGGGCAGCCGGCATCCCTCGACTAGTACCCGGCAGCCGGGCAAGTGATTAACCGGTCACGACACATGCCGTGCATGTGTGAACGGTGCCATATACTTCTTCACCCCATTGCCGGTTAAACGACACCCGGCACCCGGCAGCCGGGTAGATGTGAAACAGGCCTTCCGGTGTTCACCTCAAGACTACTGTCGAAGGGAGAGGATAGTGTAAAGTAGAACAGAGTCTTGGAAATCTAACGTTGTTGTATCTTGTGGTTGTGTCTTGTTTGGGAACTGGTCCATGAGTAAAATTCATTAGATTTTTTGAGGAAATTAAGAACTGCTGAATGCAAATCAGCTCTTTCTTTAAAGAAATCACAAGGCCTGCAGCAAAAGTCAAATATGCCTACTGTAGATGGTTTCCAAATAGCTGAAGTTTTCTAGTCCCCTTTTCTAGTAGAGAGTTTGAAAAATAAATTCTATTAAAACTCAACTGAAATATACAGAATGTTTTCAAAGTCTATACAGCCTGTTCACATGAAGATATACCACTATAACAAAATCAACATAACTTAGAATGCATTTGATATATGTAAGCACTGTAAGGCTCCAAGCTGTTTAAGGATCATGTATATTTCATTTAACGAACATTCGAGCAACATTTTAAGTTTTCAAATACGTCTATTATCTCTAGACGATTGTAATTTCATCAGTCAGTCAAAATCCAACAAAATTGTTTTAGTGGAGAACAAGTTTAATGAGAAAATGAAAGGAAACCCAAATTAAGAATATCCAAGTTTTATCAGTATGATTTGTAGAAGGCAGAACTCATTAGAGAAATCGACATTTCCGTTTGACCACAACATAACCCTGCAGTTCAGATTCTTCACGGGACATTAGTTTTGATATTGTATTGGCCTGAGCGGTTTTCTCCTAGAGCACCTTGAGTAAGGTCGGATCAGAGTCTGCGATCTTTGGATGGATGGAGTTATTTCGACCCTCTACTTTCTCGCCTGATCCTAATGCACTTCTAGTGTCAACACTTTCCAAAGTTATGGCTATATATAGTCTGCCAATCGTCGGAACCACACCGCAACCTTTGCATTGCACTTTTCTCTGATGAATCTAATTGCCAACCCCCGAACTTTCTATAACCGCGCCGTCGAAAAGGCTTTCGTTAGAGGTCTACTTTGCAGTTGATAATTATGGCTAATGCAGGGATTTAATGGGTTCTTGTTAGGTAATGCAGCAAGTCTGTATTGCACAGGTGGGATTGAAATGAAGAAGTTTCTTTTGAGATTGGATTTGATAGGATTAGAGGTAATGCTACCCGATTAACGGCATAATCTTTTCCTCCGGTTTACTTTTCTCTATGTAGACTTGAGTGCAGTATCTGTTTTTATTCGGTGATATTGACGCGTACTTAAACAATTAGTCTGGATCAACATAATAATTTAAAGCTACGGATTAATAAGCCTACTTAAGCCTGTTATTTGGATACTAAGTTTATTTAGTTTTATCTCCCTCAAACTTCCTGTTGCGGAAGTTTATGATTTGTATTTTAATTTGTGTATTTTAAAATACAGAATGAAGATAGAGACAATAAGGTATGTCTTCGCTCTTTTTTGCGTTTAAACCCAGACAAAACGGTTAAGTGGCCGTCAAAAACGTAGCCCTGTGTCAAACCTACAGTTGTTTGTATTGCCACTACGCAGAGGGCAAGTAAACTCGGTTGCATATCTTAATACTTAATACT